GGATGGAGCAGGGGGTTTAAGGTGGCAGAATTGTGCTCTCTTTTTGGTCTTTGACTGTCCTGATAACTTTGTTGAAAGATTACATCAGAAATCCAAATTTGAGGTCACTGAGGATTATGAGGTCATAGTGGATACTGAGCCCAGTAATTAATTCTCCAGTCCTGACTATTTCACATGGGGTGAGAAAGGCTCTAACTTTGCCCTCTCCTCAGTAAGTTCAGTTCCCAGAGCAGAGGGGCCCCTCTTTCAGGACCCCAGATATAGGGTGATTGTGAACCCAGAGCTGGGACAGTGCCCTGGCTGACTGATCCGTTGTACTGTTAGGGAACGTGCCCTGCTTGGCTGTTACTTTCCCAAACAGGTGCTCTCTGTGAAAGTAACTTACAAGTAAGTTACCTTACAAGTAAGTTATGGCTATGGGCTTCTCCTCCACTCAGGCACTGGAGACAGGAAGGAACCATGGCTGAGAGCTATCACCAAATAATATCTAGAATGACACGGCATAGCAGAGAACTTGAAGCCATCAGCATGCCCACCTCCTTCCCACCCTCCCCTGGGCCCCACTGACCATGAGCAGAGAAGAAAGTGTACTGATTTTGTGTGACTGACCCTAGCTGTTTGAAAATGCCATGTGTGTGTCTCTGAACTCAGCTTCTAAGGATACATAGCACGTCTTAGGGGCACAGACAGAAGATAATGAACACAGAGAGAAGGCAGCATGCATTTATTTCTAAGTCATTTCTAAGGCCTGGGTTTATTTAGAACTTCTGTGATTTTCACCAACTCACTTGACCTCTGTGGCCCTCATTTCTTCATCTGTAAAGTGAGCCTGTACCATAGGAGAGGCTTAATTTTGTTTGTTTGTTTTGTTTAAAGCATCAGAGACTTTTCCACAATATCTGATAGTTAAAACAGAGATATGGAAAGTTGTTCCTGTTGAAGAAGGGTCTAGAGCCCCGTCCTCTTGTCCTCTCTCCCTCTACAGCCTCTGATGTTACTCTATCAAATTACCCCCCACAAAATCCAGTGGGCATAAAAAATATCTAAGGCATACCCGAGTATAACATTCTGGGACTCAGGGACTCTGGTCAAGAAGGACACTGGAGTAGCCACTTATTCCCGCATACTTGGCCCTGGTGACCATGGGGCTGGCCATGAGTCTCCTGAGTATGCTGGTCTATGTCTGTGTAAGCTCACGTATCCTTGCTTCAGGATACAGGATGTGGTGTGGCTGGGTGCTTCTTGCAAGAGATTCTACATCCTGTGAACGTGGGGTCTCTACCTGCCAACTGCTGAGATGAACCAGTAATCCTTTCAGAGAGCACAGGCTTTTATCAATGAGGAGGATTCAAGGCTTGTTTTTTTTTTTTTTTTTTTCCTTTCCTCCAAATAACACTCCCACTGTTCAGGCTTAAATACCAAAACCTTATGGTTTGCAGAATCAGTGCCAAGAAGTCAATCATCAGTGAAACTGCAAAGATAATAGCTCCTATTGATCAAATCGGGAGAAGAATGGTTTGCCCTTCTGCAGAGGTCAGGGAAGATAAGGGCTGGAGTTTTCTAAAATACGCTTGATTTGCCTAAATTGGGTAAAAATGCATAAAAGCACTTATGTTCTTAAGAGAACTGGTGACCAATTCGGGGAAAACCTCACAAAAATGAAAAGATTGGCTTAGATTAGTAGAGCATGAGAAATACAGAGTCTTTCCTAAAAGCATGGAGAATGTGTTATTTCAAACCTAGACAGTGACATAGCCGCTAACCGGAGGATGTCTGCTTAACAGGTGGCTATTGTCTGCTTTACTAGACCGAGAGGAAGGCACAGAAGATCTGGGGGTCCACTCTGTGCTGGACAGTGTGCAGGTCCACTTTGGACCATAATCTAATGTAATCCTTACCACAATCCTGTGAGGTGGCTTTTATTGTCCCCTTTTTATAGATGAGAAAATAGAAGCCAAAAGTTTTTAAGTAACTTGCTCATGATCATGAAATTAGTATTTTAATCTAGGTGTGTGCTTCCATTAAATAGTCTACTATCTCCTAATTGGCCCATATTACTTTGTTCTTACCACAATAATTTTACACAAAGAGATGTTGCTAGCGGGTATTAAATGTACTTGGAAATACTTTATCCTTTTGCCATGATGAGGATGTAGGAAAGAAGCTGAATCCATTAGTGGAGATCCTACGTAGACAAAGCTGGTGGTTGTGCCTCTCTCTAAAGCTGTTACTGACTGTGAACTCCATGGAGTGCAAGTTGACAAGTACTGAATTTTTCTCACATAAAGGTCAGCCTTCCTTTTGGGGGAGGGGAAACCTAGTAACATCATTTTTTGTGAGGGGGTATTACTATTACTACACTTTGCACAGAAAATAATCAGCCTTTCTTTTAAAAAATGTGGCCTTGGAAGATAATATTTTTTAGGGAGGTTATTCATATTTTAAAATATTTTATCTGTTTTTATGATCATTTTGTCTGAAAAGCTGAACATGTGGTTATCTAAAGGAATAAATCTTGAGACCGAGAACAAAATTCCTCAGAATCATCACAATCACTTAATAAGCTTGTGAATTGAAATTATTGTTGCCTTAGTCCAAGAGCAGAGTAGTCATTAGTGTCCAGAGACACATGGGGAACAATTTTGCCATTAGCAGTGCCAAGAATCTATTCATTTGTCATCGGTCCCAAATTATATTCAATCAGCAATTCAAACTCAGGTTAGAAAAACCAAGTGACATCGGGCTAACTTTCTATAAAATTAATACTGTAAAATGAAACCTGTATTTCTGGCAGTGTAACTGTGAGCAGCAGTAAGATGAAGCTATGAAAATGTTGAATGTAAATACTGTCAAGGTCGATCTTAATCCCACCACTTCCCCACCTTTTGCTTCCTTGCCTGAAACGCTGCCTTGGCTGCCATGCTTCTATTCCCCAGCTCCCTGAAGTCTGGGTACTGGAGTGCTTGATGAGCTCTTTTATATGGTGAACCGCAGTCGTCCATGATACAGCAAACAAAGGGCCATTATTCAAAGAGCCAAAGTGGGTGGCGGCAGGATTGGGGTGAGGGTAGAGCTGTGGTTGGGGTCATTCATGGAGGGCCCCCAAGTGTAGGCAGTTAGATCTTCCTCGTGGAATCACCTGCAAGAATTATTCATTCATAGGACAAATGGTTCATTGCGAACAGGAGCACTGTGGTTTTGGGTGAAGCATTTTTCCTATTTGGGATACTTTTTTCTTTTTTCTTTCATATTTTGGAATCTTATGTGCTTTCAGGTTCCTGCCATACTGCCCATCTGGCTTCAGGTCCCCTTAAAAGATGCTCTGCTGTTTTTAACTCAGGACATAGGAAGGGCTGGGGCCATTTGGGTTGGGGTTCTTCTACTTTCTTTCCCAGATGCCGCTTAGACAGGGAAAGAGGCAAACCCTAGGAGTTCTGCACAAACCAAACAAACCCTTTGTCTCTGTTGTGTGTGACAGGTTGATCAGAGATGCAGTAGACAAACTAAAAGTGGGCCGTTGCAAGGTCTCCGTGGGTAAACATCCTGTTCTTGGCAAAGTTCACTGACTATGGTGTGTGGCGTCTATGGCCAAGTGGCAGCCAAGCCCCATCAGTAAATAAGGAAATGGTAGAAAATGTGCTTATCTAGGTAAAAAGGTGAAGCCAGAGAGAGAGGCAAGATGAAAAACAAATTAGGTTTCACAGAGTTGAGTACCAGGTAGCATGAGCTATGAGGAGGTGTGTGGGCAGTAACAGACCTGGATCTGAATCCCAGTTCTTCCACTCACTAAAAAGTTGCATTTCAGAACCATTTTTAGTGGCTGCCTAGAGCACTCTGTCAAAAAGACCCTAAGGCAAGTCCCAGGTTTAATAGGCAAAAAGAGCCATACTTGATTAAGGAGGTCTGCACTTGAATGAAGGAACAGGAATTGACAGCATGGGTGCCATCTCTCTCTCTCTCCTTCTTTTTAAAGAGATTTTATTTATTTATTTTGAGAGAGAGAGAGTGCGCACAAGTTGGGTGAGGAGTAGAGGGAGAGGGAGAGGGATAACAGACTCCCCACTGAGCGAGGAGCCCAACATGGGGCTGGATCCCAGGACCTGGAGATCATGACATGAACTAAAGTCAGACACTTAACTGACTGACCCCTGGGTGCCATGTATCCAATGTCATAGGCTCTGAGTTCTCTGAGATATTGCTCAGTACTAAAGTTCTGTAATACAGCGTGTGTGTGTGTGTGTGTGTGTGTGTGTGTGTGTGTGTGTGTGTAGCCTAAGAGAAGGTTAGTGAAACCTTATTAAAATGTGCTGGTAGAACAGTGTTGTGACTTAAAATTTCAAAAACAATAAAAACATAATTTGTATAGTATAGTCTATTACTAAAGAATTTTTATATCTCCATAGTATATTGTACCCTGTAGATTGTTGATCTTCATATTTGCTTTAATTAATGGTGGTTTTGAAAATTGCCTTTTAAGTTGCATTGCCTTGGTTGACTCTCGTATTCAAATACTTAGGTTTCGTTTGTCTTGACTATAAGCTTCCACATAGAGACATAGATTTCTCTACTAATAGAAATCCCATCAATTCACAAATACAACAAATAAAATCAGCAATGTAGCTCTCATTTTCCATGGAAAGACTATTGAATAGTCTAGGAGTGGTCTTCTAACGAGAAAAAGAAAAGTTGATGTTTGACAATGTTTGGTCATTTCTGCAGGCTTGATTTTTTTGTTCATGAAATATTTGTATTTTAATTTTCAAGCCCATGTTTCAAAGAAAACAGGCTTGCACGCTGGTCTACCGATTCTTCTCCTGGATAGCCTCCGTAAATCAGGAGCCTTCCCCGGGCATTCCTGCTTAATAAACTCCGGGATTGCACTGGTCTCTCTCCCAGGGCAGGGCGTTTGGAAGTCTCCCATAATGCTTCTAACAGCCCATAAGTTACTTATATATTTACCCTCACCCTGTCTTTCTCCCCTCCCTTCTTCTTCTTTCCAGAAACAGAGTTGTCAGTCACTGCTGAGTTAGTGCCTACCTCATCGTGGAACATTTCAAGTGAACTCGACAAAGGTACACAATGGGGATGCATAGGATGGGGGGAGGGAAGAGGGGGAGGCGTGAAACTCCATTTTTAATCCTGGCATGGCCTTCTTTGAAATCAACTGCTTCTTAGATCCTTAGAAAGTGGCGGGGGCCAAAATAAATCCCTTGCTTACTTTGTGATTATTTAACATTTAATTACTTGGAATTCTATTATTTCTGGGGAGGGATTTTTTTCCCCCCTTTCCTTTCCCTTCTTCCTCTAAAATGTTCCATATGGTAAAAACGCTTCAAGATGTGAAATAGGGTTGTTTCTGACCTTCTTGACACTGCATCTAGTGGATCTTATTTAGGGGATTTGATTCTGCCTGGGACAGGATTGATCAGAGCTGTTTGCTGGGTGACCTTTTCCAGCGAGTATTTGATGTGCTTGCAGAGTTCAGGGCAGAGTGTTTGGAATGTTTGTAATTGCCTGTGCGTACAGATGGCAGCTTCCTGCGCGCACGTGGGGAACAGGTTCCTGCTGTGAAGTTGTTGTAGTATTAATTAAGCTCCGCCATATGCTAAGCACTGGCTACTCCATAGAGATCCCGTGTCCTGGAATGGTAAATTGGGGACACAGTCAAAGCCCCTGCAGGCTGGCTCATCCCACCCTCCCAGCCTTGTTTCCCTTTCCTCCCCTTTATGTCTCTTTATGCATCTCCAGTGACATTTCTATTTCTTATTTACCCTGTGCTTTTCTTTCCCTAGCTTTTGCCTAAGCTGTTCTTTCCAACTGAATCACCCCTTTTTTCTTTGCCACTAACCATTCTCTCCCTTCTGCGTGCCACAAATTACTTATTCTTCAAGACCAAGAACAAATTATTAGCCACAGTCTTATCTAATCCCTCAGCAGGAAGTGACCATTCCTTCTTTGGAACTTCCATAGCCCTTTCCTCTGCTTCTCTTTGCATTTTCTATGTTATAGCACGGTGATTTATATACCTGTCTATCTCATTCTGAAGCTTGAAAGTTCCTTTTAAGTAGGATTTCTGTTTTGTCCTTGGTCTTTGTCTTTGTCTCCATCACCAAGTCTAGGACAGACTCTTGTTCATAGGAAATCCTCAATCAGTATGTGTGGAATAATGAATCACAACTTATCTCAGGACATATACATGGATGGGCACATCTGTATCTATATGTGCAAATACATTCAACAAACTTACTGAGTTTCTGCTTTAGTTCAGGTATGATTCTAGGTTCTGGGATTATAGTGACAAAAGCTCAAAAGTCATTGTCCCATGTGTCAGACAACTTTGATCATCAGCTCTTTTTGTCAGCCTATGTGTTCCCTGGGAGTTGTATTTTCTCCCTGAAGCGAGAAAAGCTTATAAAACAGTAATAGGCAAGGTTATGTTGGTGGTTATACTTTGTTAGGCATTTTAGGGTGGTGGGATGATGTGAGATATCTTTTCACCTTAAATGAGAGGGCATTTAGAATCATTTTCTCTTGTCAATTTTATTTTGGACATTCTTTTTGTAACTTAGGATGAAAACAGGGACTGTATGTTATTCTCTCCATGTCCAGCACCAGGCACCATGCCTAGGAGGCAGTGGATTTTCAACAAATATTTATTAAATTTTTTTTTAATGTGAAAGAAGACGTAAAGCCCGCTAAATGTCTGCTCAGTGCCCATTCTGTGACAAGCACTTTGCTAGGTGCTTTCAAGAATGTGAACATAATTGGCAAGCTCCTTATGGCACCAGCAGTAAAAATGATATCATTGTACACTACATGTTTTGATCAGGTTTCGGTTATGGCTATAAAAGGACATCAGTTACATGCAGTCACGGGGTGAGGCTGCCAGGCTTTGAATTTCTACCAGACCAGCACGGTAATTAGCAGTGGGTGCCCTTCAAGAAAAAAGTAGTGTCGATAGCTATGAACCTACTTGCTAAAAAGCTGGTCTAAGACAGGCCCCCAGCTTTTTGTTTGTTCAATTTGGCCTTCCAGAGGGCATGGATAGCTTTCCAGAGATTCTTGGTGTTATATTTCTCTAGAAGAAAATTAGTATATGGCCTTTCATTCCCATTAGAATGAGAAAGAAAGCTGATTAATTCTTTCATTCATTGATCAGATCTTTTTTGCTTCCTACTCTGGTCTGGGCACCGTCTGAAAAATTAGTATTGAAAGATGAATTAGACAAAGGTCTCCGTCCTCCCTGAACACAAGTGGGAAAGATTGATATCTAAATGTGGGCAGTCAAGGGACGTTCCCCCCTAATTATACAGAGATGCTGGTGGAAGGATACAATGAAAAAAATTCACTGACAGGCTGGTACCCAAAAAGGAGAAATCTCTAGGTGCCAGAAGAGAAAGCTCCATGGTAGGTAGAGTGATGATCAGCAAGAAGGAATTAAATAAAAGGTTTTATAAAAATATGGGAAATGTGTATGGTTCTCTGGGGCTACAGTTTCAATATCCCATGGAGATGAGAACTGAGGCCATAAGAAACAAATTCATTGCTTAGGCTGTCAGTGAGGGATGACTGAACCGAGCAGGAAAGGCCAGTTCTACTGAGGGTGTGGTGTGGAAGTCTATGAACGACCCTGGGTTGTTGGGGTCACCCAGGGGAAATACAAACCCCAACCTGTGTTACATGGGGCTTGGGGGTTGGAGTTCTTCTCATGTCATACACAAGCTACAAACTGAGAAGCAAATGTAAAAACTTGGTCTGGAATTGATTAAACTCTGAGACCCTGACTGGGGACAACCTAAAACCAGCTCACAAAATGTCTCGACATCCCAGTGCCTATGGCGCTCCCACCAAAAATGAAATTTAAAAAAAAATCATAACCACTAAATAACAACAGCAGATTCCTACTGAGGTTAAGTGCACTTTTAGAAAGTATAATACGTGCAAGAGAGGAATAAAAGAAACCCAGTTAACAAGAATCGGTAGACCAAACACAGGAGCTCAGGCCTTTGAAACTAAAGACAATAGACCGATTTGAGAAAGAATATATGTTTAAAATGTTTCATGGGAAGAATAAATAAATAAAATGTCTCATGGTGAAGAGGAAATGGAAACCTTAGGTCAAGTACAGGACTATATGATAAAAAAAGAAGATTTTAAAAGAACCAAGTAGAAATTCTAGAACTGAAAAATAGAGCTATTGAAATTAAAAGCTCATCAAACGGGTCAAACAGTAGATGCATTCAGCTGAAGACAGAAATGATGAAATGAAGGTAGGTTTGAGAAAACATGGTGGTTAAGAGAATGAACTCTGGGGCCCAGGTGACTAAGTTTGAATCCTGTATCTACTGCCTACATTCTGTGTGACTTTGGGCAAGCCACTCAACCGATCTGTGCTTTGGTCTCCTCTCTTGTAAGATGAGATAACAAAAGTAATTACCTCATCTGGTTGTTGGGAAAATTGACCTGGCTCGCAAATCTGATAAACTAATTGGAGAATAAGAAGTAACAGCTGTTTTTGGTTAATATGATTATTACTTTGGGGTTTATTGTTAAAAAAAAAAAGTCATAGGTACTTTGGCAGGCATGTAGGGAAAGCATATTTTCGAGATTTTAGATCCTGTTCAATCAGCCCGTGTCCGCAGCTTTTCCATCCTGGCCCTCCACACCTGTGTGTTCACCCACACCAGCACCACACTCATCTTGATAAGCAAGGTTCTCCATGGTCTTACCCTCACGCTGACTCCTCTCACCTCATCCCTTCCCCCGTACTTTATACTTCATATGTTTCAACAACCTGCCTCTAATTCCCTAAATGTATCGCTCTGTTTCTAGTCTCTGCACTTTTGTTCCTTCTGACTGGATTGCCTTTAACCTCATTCTCCTCCTGGCTAATTCCTTCTTTACTTAAGACCGCCTCAAGCATTCCCTTATTGCTCCTAATGGGTACAGAGCTGAATACGACAGGCAGCGTTCCTGCTTTGCTGGACCTTGCATTCTGGAGAGAGACAATGAATGAGTCCTTTTATCAGTCCCATTGACCATGCCATTAACAGTGCCCCTAGACACTTCATATGTGGGGTACACATCACCCCATATCTATCCTGATTAGGATCCTTACCATGCTGTATTGAAATTATCTGTTTCGTGCCTGCCTGTTTTAAAGCCAGGGACTCTGTCATCTATAAGCGTGCTCTTATTGCCCAACAGTGTCTGGCATGTAATAGGAAACATGGCGCTACATTGTTTGGGTTCCTATGCTGGTTCTCAGCTGCTGAAAGCGAATACCTACTATGTGCGAGGCACTGGCTAAGCACGTTGCATGCATCGTTCAAATTCATAGCACCTTGTATGGGAGAACAGACCGGCTACCGAGGCTCATCAGGCTTGAAGGAGTTGACGGAAGGGCACCAGTAGGGAGTGGCAGTGCCAGGATCCCACCAAGGCCTCCAGGCCAAGTCTAGGGATCCATGTCTAACATGGCAGCTGATTACATGTGTGTTCCTAGACCAACCTCCGAGGGGCGACATTCCGTCACAAGCAGGAGCAGTAGAATAAGCCCCGCCATTGGTGTTCTGTGATGCCTTTCTCTTCACCCAGCTGCTCCGGTCCACCCATCAACCCCACCCTGGTTCCCCAGCCTCACTCAGGTCCTGTTTTTTCTGTTAAATGAGTCCAGTCAGTGGCATTAAACAGTTACCTGTTTATCCTTTCCAACAGGAAATGAAATTGAAAAGAGACAAGGCCACCCGGGAAGGGCCGGGGAGAGCCGTTGAAAGCTACTATTGATGGGACATGGGGGTAATTTCTGAAACAAATGCTTCAGAACCAAGTACCTTCTAAAATAAATGGATCTACAGGGGCCCAACCTCAGCTTCCCCATTGGGGTTTGGGGATGGGGTGTGATGAGGGCCTCTTTCGCCTTCTTCCATTTTCAGTCACATGAAGTCTCAGAGGTTCTCTGTAGAAAGCCAAATGTTTCTTTTGGAGAAAGGACTGGAAATTGCACCCGTAGGTAGCAGAAAGGGAGGGAGCCTCCTACTTAAAAAAATACTGAGGCTTGCTTCCAACTTCA